TACTTCACATTAAATAGAAAAATATGAGCGAAGCTAAATTTTCATCTGTAGACAGAATAAAAAACAACATATGTTAAATAAATAAAAAAAAAATAAATAAAAAACACAAATAAAAACTAAAATTTCCAAGGACATACCCAAACAGAATCGTTACAAATTCCAAGATTTTCTTCTCCAAGATCGATATGACGACTACACGAATTTTTTTCGTATAGAAAGACAGAAGAATATCAAAAGTTTTAAATATGGAAAGTTCTTTTGTAGACGAAAGCTTGAACTTTTTGGAGACAAATCAATCCAATTGAAGGAAGGAAAGAGACTAGATAACTTGAGAAAGTGATAGATAGTACATTACTTTATATATTTTTTATATTTTTATTTATTTATTATGTTATATTAAATAAAAAAGACAAACCATTTGAACCAAACATTTCAAACCAGTTCAATGTGAAAACGTACGTGACAAAAATACCATTATGAGTTTTTTTTTTACCATTTTTTTTTTTTACCTATTACTATAATAGTAAGTAACTCTTTACATTTTAGATTCTAAATCTCTTATATATAATTGCAAAAGCTACTAATATATATATAAAAAATGTTAACTTAAAATTTTTTAATTATAAATATTTAGATATATTTAGTTTATTAAATTAAATACTAATAAAAAGATTACACTATAAGTAAAAAAATCAGCTAAAGTTATTTAAAAGTAATAAAAAATTTGTAATGTTATATGTTATTTATAGGTAAAAAATATTAATTTTAACATTTGTAAGCAAATATTTAAATATATTTAATTATTTAAAATTAAATATTAATAAGAGAATTTACGACAAATAAAAAAAAACGTGCATTAGTCGGAACATTGGTCCGTGCACGGAGTGAGGCAAAGAAGCTCCGTGCACGGACCTTCCAATCCTCCGTGCACGGAGGTTAACTACATGTTTCGTCTTTTTTTTAACTTATGTTTTTTTGTTCATTTTTAGGCTCATTAAGGGATATCAAACGAAGTCGAAATATTACATTCTTAATATTATATTAAAGTACTCGCGACATAGTGTTGCACGTCGTTAATGGTACGTGAAACGGCTAATGGTAGCAAATGTTATGGGACGTCAAAACAAGCATTTTCAAACTATATTTCGAAATTTTCGATAACAAGTTAACTCAAAAAATTCATCGACCATTATACGATAGTCGAATCGATAAATGTTTTACATTCTCTCGAAACTCATTTCGAGAAATATATCATCGACACATCGAATGATGTAAATTAATATCGAAAATAGTTAAACGGACATTAAACGTATGTGTTAAAAAATGCGTATAAATCATTTTTTCTTCAAAAAATCAATTATTTTATTACTATTTATTATTTTTTCGCAACAATTTTCTCAATACATCATTTTGCTCAAGAAAAATTATGTGGTATGACGTAATTTTTTTCTCCATACACAAAGTAATATTTTTTTTTTTTACATTTTATTTACAATAATTTTGTTTATTAATATAATTTTCAAAATTTAAATATATAAGATATGGTTGATAGTTAATAGTGTGAAAATTAGGAGAAAGAGCATGGCGTGTCAGTTCAAAGCAAGGGAGAAATATTGCAGTGGACAATAGTATGTGACAAAATTCCTACAGTATTTTTGAATAACATTTTTCCTATTGTCAAACTAGTTTCCTAACCAGTTAAGTGTGAAAATGAGTGTGATAAAAATAAACAGTAAACCCTCATTCTCTCTTTTATGGTAGTGTAGAAATAGTAGTTTGATTTCTTTTTAGTCTTATTTTAAAATTTTAATATGAAATTGCATGTCAACTCGTATAATTTAAAGAAAGCTTTTGGTAAGGATTAATATTAATTTTATCCTAAGAAAATGGGTCATTACAAGAAAGCAGGTTAATAGGCTGCAATAATGAAGCCTGAAGATTGATTTGGTTCAAAATTGAAGTATGCTTTATTTGCAAGATATGCTCAGATACCAAACAAGGCTAAAGCTCTATGCTTGAACAAAAAGTCGAATATTTCAGTTTGTAGGGCTGAATATATTACAGTAAAATTCCTTCCCAAATAAAACAACTTAACATGTTTAAAAAAAGGTAAAAAAGCACAAACAAGAAAAAAAAAAAAAAAAAGGGAATCAAACACAAAGACGCTTGATGCCCAAATACTGGAAGTTCGAATTTTTCATATTTGAAATAAATGGAATGAAACTTCCTGCTTCAACATACTAGATGTAGCTTTGATACACATCAGCCCTGCACTTCAATAGCATCATGTTCTCCATTGGATTGTAGCGTCGATAATTCGCTACTTGAAGTGGGGATCTCTAGATTTCCGTTGTCTTGCTCTTAAAAAGGTTGCCACTCTCCAATATAAGCTATTTTATCAGGATCCAGACTTGGCAGTTCACGTTGCTGAAGAATTTCAAGAATTTCTTCTGTTTCACCAAGAAGTAGAGCAGCTTGACGAACACAATTTTTCCTTTCCTTTATAGAATTATGATGACTTTTCATAGTTATTGTTGGGGAAGAAGATTCCCAAACTTTCCCAAGAACAAATAAACTTTTGATGTGAAAAATCCCAAACCACTTGAAGATGAAAAGAAAGATAAGAAAATTGGGGAAGAAATGATTTTCAATATATATATATGAAGAACAATGGATTGGATTACGTGAGCAAGCCTCAAGTTAATCCCCAAGAAAGAAAAATAGTTTTGAATTTATACCCAAGAAGAACAACCACTTTCTTGTTAAATTCTCTCCAAGCTTTCTCTTCTATTTTCTCTCAAAAAAACCGGATTCTTAATGAAGGGGAAACAAAACAGCAGTATATATAGTTGAGTCGGGCGCCTAGGCGCCCATGAGTGGCGCCTAGGTGCTATCCCTACTTCTCCTTTCTTACAATTCTCCACCTCATACATCATTTGATAGACCTCAAATTTTGGACGAACACAAGAAGAAGCAGCAAGCGCCAAACTCGGCTGCACCATTCTAACCATGGTTGCCTACGTACCCAAAACTCGGGATCAAGCCTCCGTAGTTCACCCCCACCTTCATATATTCTTCACCTCATTTCAACCCCGCCTTGAAGGGCCATGCCCACTCGAGCATATCAGCACGGACTAATGTGAAGCAAGTCCAAGCAATGCTGAAACTTGCTACCCGTTACCACTTTGGTTAACATGTCTGCTGGGTTCTCATTTGTGTGTACCTTCAAGAGAGAAATATCACCTTCCTCTATGACATCACGCACAAAATGATATCTGACGTCGATATGCTTGGTTTGAGCATGATGAACCTGATTCTTAGCCAAATGAATCGCACTCTGGCTATCACACCACAAGTCCACACAATCCTGCTCAATCCCCAAATCATCTAGAAGACCCCTCAACCACATTGCTTCCTTCACTCCCTCTGCCATGGCCATATACTCGGCCTCTGTAGTAGAAGAGCCACTGTAGCCTGTAACATCGATCGCCAACTAATTGGGGCACCATGTATGCAAAACACATATCCAGTAGTAGATTGTCGCCTATCTAGATTACCTGCATAATTCGAGTCCACAAACCCACTTATATGACATGCATCTCCACCAAAACATAAACCCGTATCCGCGGTACCTTTTAAGTACCTCAGGAAACACTTCACAGCTTCCCAGTGTGCCTTTCCCGGATTAGCCATGAATCTACTGACCACACTAACCGCCTGTAAAATATCTGGGCGTGTACACACCATGGCATACATCAAACTGCCAACTGCACTAGCATAAGGTACATGACCCATGCGTACCTTTTCTTCTGCTGTAGTAGGAGATTGTTTACCAGAGAGCCTGAAATGTGGAGCCAATGGAGTCACCACCGACTTTGCACCTTGTAACCCGAACCTAGCAATAACGCGCTCAATGTAGCCTTTCTGACTAAAAAACATTCGTCGGTTCGTCTTCTCTCTTCTAATCTCCATACCCAGTATTTTCTTAGCAGCCCCCATATCCTTTATCTCAAACTCTTTACCAAGTTGAGATTTCAACCTATCTATCTCCACCTTGCTTTTCGAAGCGATAAGCATGTCATCCACATACAAAAAAAGATAGATATAGTTACCTCCCCGAAGTTTTCGAATATAAACACAACAGTCATACTCACTTCTGGAGAAACCATGCTTTAGCATGAAGGAGTCAAATCGCTTGTACCACTGTCGAGGAGATTGTGTCAATCCATCTGTGGGCGCCTAGGCGCCCAGTTTCTGCTGGGATGGCACCTAGGCGCTCGACTCAACTATATATATTGCTATTTTGTTTCCCCTTCATTAAGAATCCGGTTTTTTAGAGAGAAAGTTTGGAGAGAATTTAACAAGAAAGAGGTTGTTCTTATTGGGTATAAATTCAAAGCTATTTTTCTTTCTTGGGGATTAACTTGAGGCTTGTTCAAGTAATCCAATCCATTGTTCTTCATATATATATTGAAAATCATTTCTTCCCCAATTTTCTTATCTTTCTTTTCATCTTCAAGTGGTTTGGGATTTTTCACATCAAAAGTTTATTTGTTCTTGGGCAAGTTTGGGAATCTTCTTCCCCAACAATCTGGTACCAGAGCTTCTTCTTAAATCAGAGTGGTTAAGCTCCGATTTTTGGTGGGTGGCTTGAACTTTGTTGTGCACATAAGGTGTTTGTGAAAAATCCCAAACCACTTGAAGATGAAAAGAAAGATAAGAAAATTGGGGAAGAAATGATTTTCAATATATATATGAAGAACAATGGATTGGATTACTTTTACAAGCCTCAAGTTAATCCCCAAAAAAGAAAAATAGCCTTGAATTTATACCCAAGAAGAACAACCTCTTTCTTGTTAAATTCTCTCCAAGCTTTCTCTTCTATTTTCTCTCTAAAAAAACCGGATTCTTAACGAAGGGGAAACAAAACAGCAATATATATAGTTGAGTCGGGCGCCTAGGCACCATCCCAGCAAAAACTGGGCGCCTAGGCGCCATCCCTACTTCTCCTTTCTCACAGTTATAACATCGGGTAAATTGGTAAGGCGGGCTGCCAATATATCCGCAATCATGATGGATAAATGGTCAAAAAGTCCATCTCTTTGGTAACTGTCATAGGCCAGTAAAATAGTTCGACTAATTCGATACATTGAGTTTGCAGCTATAATCCTATCTGGCCAATTTAGAGGGTTCACCATGACGAGATTGTTCGTGTATCTGAGGAACTGCATAACAGTCATTTCAGCTACATTGGAAAGCTCTTCTAGTGTTTCCTTAGAGGTTTTGCCTTGGGCATTTGATTTGCAGAGATCCTTATCTTACCATTTACGATATAATTCAAGTCCCATCCATACAATATCTGCTGCATTTCTAATGTTTACCAGAGCTCCATTTCTATACAAGGCCTTTTCTATTACTTTTAACGAGGAAAGGCCTTCACCGACAGACCTCAATAACTGATTACCCCTATAACTTGGGATGTTGGGAAGTGCAATGGCGATGCACGTAAGGGTTACCACAGGTAGAGACCAGCAATTCGAAGGCTCCTGGGAATGTAAACTTGGAACGTGATTACTGTCAAATTCTCTCACCCCATTAAAGTTGTTAGATTTACTTTGAAGTTTAATCAGGTTCTTGGGCTGCTGACTTTTACCTGTCCGGATAAGCTTGTCCACCTCATTCCAGATGTTTTTTACGGTCTTTTTTGGCAGTTGTACTTCTCCTTCAAGTAGCAAGACATAACGGGTAAGATCTAGTTCGGAATCAATGCTTGATTCTGATCCTTTTTTGTTGCAAGAGGCATTTACAACAAATATCATCAACCAACCGATGAGGTGGAAAGATGAGGCAGAAATGACAAGTACAAGTTTGCTCACCGAAACAATTAGAATCTGTATTCCAATGCAGAGATTAAGAATAGTCTTATTGCTGCATGAAGAAGCTTTTTGCCTCTGGGGTGTCGAACTTGTAAAGGTAATGGCCTTTCTTTCCAGTCCACCAGCCTCTGAATCCAATAATTCTCGATTTTGAATTCACTTTTGAAGCTTTTACTGTCTAGTTCTGAAAGCTTGAAGCATGCAGCAGTGAACCATTTGAAGGCAGTGGCAATAGTTCCCACGAAAACTCCGACAAACTGGGTAGCTAGAATCCATTTAATTGACCACTTGTAGGTGGAAGTACGCTTCGAGAATTCTCCGGGCCAAAACAATTGTTGAATATGAGCTTCTACCAAAAAGAAAGCAGTGAACACACAAATCAAACCTGAAGCAGTGCAAGTCACAGAACGTGCCAATACGAACCCGGGGCTCCCTGTTGCTGCCATTAGCCAATATTTTTTCACCACTACTCTCAATTTGTCCACTGTAAAATTTGCCTCTTCCATTCTTCCTTCATTGGAAGCTATTCTGTGCATTTCCTGGTACTTGGATTCTATGTAACTTCTGTAAGTTGGAACCATCAAAGTCGAAGAACAAAATATAACAAGTGAAAGAAACATAAAACTAATTGCTACAATTTCTCGATTTTCACCCACTACTGCTGGATCATGACAACTATGTATGATTTGGCGAAGGTGGATATAAACCATGGCATCGGCGAATCCAGGTTTTCTTGTATATAACGGTCAGAATCACAGAAGAGTAAACTGCATACATCCATACTATAACATCCCGAACTGCAGTTTGATGAATCCATCAACTTATTCAATTGCTTCCCAATAGCTTGCTATCTTGTAATCCTTTGTTTTTCTCCAGTCATTGATTTCATGTTCATCCATCAAAAAATACCAATAATTTCGTCAGAGTCAAATAAAAAATTGACTTGTAATGTCATGATTTCAGGAGAAAACAAAACACCGTTTCTGGAGGGAGGGAACAAAATAAAAACTTTTCTTCTGGATATCAAAAAATATATATATAAAAAATGAAAAAATCTTCTCGAAACAGAAATTTTGGCATATTTTATAAGCCTGTCTTACATTTATGCATACTTTAAAGTTTAAACTATTTTTATTTTCTTAAGAAAATATGTGCATTCTACTAGAAAGGGGGGAGTATTGATGGAAAATGAAGTCTCCAAAAGTTATTTATTTCTTTTGGATTATTAGAATGGATTATTAGAAGAATGAAAGTTTCATTTGTGGAAAAACTTGCTCAATTTCCACAATAAAAGATAAAAAAATTCTCAACATTCAATGTCATAATTTTTCCAGTTCCATAGTCAAGCAAAATTTGTTTTATTATTGAAAAAAGTGAAGTTCATAATGGTAACATGAGCATCACTCCCTTGGAATAAACCCCAACCAACACGTTAACCGTAACTTAACACACCGAGTGAGAATAATTTTCTGGACGATTTTAACCTACCACAATTCAATTATTTCAATAATACCTTACTTTTCGTTTTTCAATATGTACTATAAAATCTTTATCATGTACGATTTTTTTGTTATTAATTCAAAAAAAAAAAAATTAAATCATAGAAGTTGAATTTTATAAGTAAAATTTTCTTCTCTTAGATTTCTGTCATAAATTTTATTTTATTTAGTTGTTTTGAGATTGAACAAATCCTCTCAATAAATTGATATTAAATATTATTTTTACAGCACTTATAAAAATTTCAAAATAACGTGCACTGCACGCTCAACGTTGATTAGTTGTCTTAAATAAAATATAGGTACAATTTCCTTTTAATGATTACATGGATAGAATCACTCCCCTAAATCAAACTAGTGCGTAACACGTGCGTTGCAAGTGATTGATATTGTAAAATATATTATTTATATTTAATAATTAGAGTTTTATCTAAAACTCGTAAAAATTCAAGAATCTAACGCATGAAAACTTGTACCATATTTCATTTGATGTTGTATTAAACCATCACCTTGCTTTGCTTTGTTATACGATCCTTCGAGGTAATTAGGTGACTCGACGAAGTCCTTAGACACCTCGTCCAAAGTAAACTACTTTCAAAATGATATGTCATATCCCGTTGAAGTGTATTTTCAAGGTGATTAGCATATCTTGTGAAAGACATTTTCTACAGGCACTCGATCAAAGATATTACGTTGACATGCTTAGTCAACTTTTCAGTCTAATCTTTTAGTTTGCATATCTATGACCTAAGGTGGCTACTCTATTTTTATTTTTTATTTTTGTTTTTTGATCATGTAAATAAATATATATTGATCAAAATTGTTTACAAATACTCCGGGCATTCCCAGGCAATCAAAGATGAAGCATAATTACAATTACACTGACGTATCCGGACAATCAAAAATCAAGTGAAATACAAGTACTACAGGCATACCCAGGCGAACAAGGTATTAAACACCTATACAAATACTCTGGGCATACCCGGGAAGACAAAATAAACAACGCAAAAACATTTACAAACATCCAAATCAAGGATCCAATGCAAGAGACTCAAATTGGATCAAAATATTTGGATACAAAGAGAACATTACTTTGTATACGTGTGTTTTGATCCGTCTAATAATGCTATCAACTTGCGGCTTAATATCTTCAAAAATCCTCCTATTTATTGTCATCCAAATATAATAGACAGAAGAAGCTAGAGCAATCCTCTTAACTTTGCTTTGTCAAGACGTCCATCTTGCTTCCTTTTTGATCCACTTCAATGCACTCGCAATAGTAGTCATTACTCTTGTAATCCCCAACTATTCCTTGATATTCTTCCAAATGCAAGAAGAAAAAGGGCATTGGAAGAAAAAGTGTTGGCAGTCCTCCACTTTTGATCCACATAAAACACACATGACATCAATATTAAGATATGTCAATTTGTCCTTAGTAATCAACCTGAATTGCGCACCAAGCTAGAGTATGAAGGAGTGTTTTGACATGATGTATGGCCTCCAGACCTCCATTGCCCATGCCTTCTTAACCCCAGCCTTTCTAAAAAAACCATATGCTTTGTCAATGCAAAAACTGCCCAGATTGGTCCATTCCAGCAACCTGCCAACTACAACCTGGGTATTTCGTTCTTGGCCAATGAGCTAGTCTCTGATTTGTAGAAGTTTCTTGATAATGGTCGAGTCTCCCTCCTTAACTGTATAAGCTCAAATTTTCGTTCCCCTTAAATACACTTCGTTAATCCATTTGACCCGCAATATGTCCTTCTTTCTATGGATATTCCATAAAGATTTGGCTAGCAAAGCAGAATTCTAGAATTTTATGTCACGAAAACCAAGTCCTCCCTCACTTTTCGGTAGGCAAATGTTGTTCCAGGCGACAGGCGACCAATGGTTTCTTCAACCCCCAAAGGAATTTACGGCACAAGCAAATAACTCTTGAGGTTACTGTGGCCGAAATTAGGAAAATGGAGAGCCAAAAACATTCAACTCCTTGAAGAATGGCCCTTACAAGTTTCGCTCTTCCCGCATAAGACAATGAAGCTTTATACCACGCACAAATATATGCTGAAATTTTATTGATAAACACATCATAAGAGCTGATTTTCAGTTTTTGTGCTGCAAGTGAGATACCCAAATAACAAAATGGCATCAATCCCATAGACATATTTGTAAGGCCATATATATTGTCAAGCTCTTGCCCATTAATACTCGCCGTGTACAAGCATGATTTGTCAACATTCATCCTAAGACCGGATGCCTTTCCGAAATTGGATAAACAATCCATCAATATAACCACCGAGGTTTGATCACCCCTAGAGAAAATCATCAAGTCATCAGCAAAAGCCAAATATGTGATCTTCAAAGCACCAAATTTAGCATGAAAATTGAACTTACTATTATCGGTAGCACCTTTCAAAATTCTTGAGAAATATTCAAGAGAAATCACAAACAAGAAAGGAGATAAGGGGTCCTCTCGACGTAGACCTTTTTTCCCCTTAAAGAATCCATGAAGACTACCGTTAAGAGCAATAGAATATGAAGGAGTGGTAATACACTCCATCACCCAATGAATGAATTTGCTTGGAAAATTCAGTCCATGAAACACACTTTCAAGAAAACTCCAATCCACCGAATCGAACGCCTTCTTAAGGTCTATTTTAAGAAGACGTCTAGGGGCCACTCTCTTACGATTATATTGCCTCAAAAGTTCTTGTGCAAGATGGATATTCTCTGTCATACTTCTACCTTCCACGAAGGCGACTTGTACTTGGTCAACAATAGTACCAAGTATAGGCCTTAATCGGCAGGAGAGGATCTCAGTGATGACTTTGTAAAAACCATTGCAACAAGCAATAGGCCTATAGTCTCCCAACGAGGTAGCGTGAGTACCTTTGGGGACCAATGCAATTACCGTGTGGTTAGTTTGCTTGAGGAGAGAACATGAATAAAAAAATTTCTTGATCGCTCCCATGAAATTGACACCCACGATATTCCAAGCCTTCTTAAAGAAATAGGAGGCATAACCATCCGGCCCCATTGACTTATCATCCCTGATGCTAAATAAAGCCTCTTTGATTTCCTATTCCGAAACACTTTGAACAAGTTCGAATGCCATTTCGTCCGATAACACGGATCCATTCTTTAAGATATCAACATCAATAGGTTCTGCCAAACTGTTTTTCCCTAATAAGTTGCTGTAGAAAAAAAATTCATTGGCCACTTCATCTAAAGAGGAAGTATATGAACCATCATCTTTAAGCATCATAGCAATGAAGTTCCTTTTAGTATTCCGTTTCACCATTGAATGAAAAAATTTGGTGCATTTGTCACTATCCTTAAGGTACTTTCATTTTGCTTATTGATAATAGAAGCTCCTCTCCGATTCACAAAGGTACATAGCACTTTTCCTCAAGTGTGCAACCTTACTTTGGAGTCCAATATTAAAAGGATCATCATGCAACTCAAGTTGAGCTTCTTTAAGCCATAAAATGGCCATGTGAGCCTTCGAGGATATGTGGGCAAAATGCTTTTCATTGAGTTTACGTAGCACTCCCTTAAGGCATTTTAACTTCTTACAAAGATTAAATTGCTTCGTACCCCTAATCACTTGGTTCCAACAATCATGTACAATCCCAAGGAAATTAGCATGATTAGTCCACATATTGAAGAACCTAAACGGTTTGCTCTTACTTTTCTGATGGTCAAAAAATGAAACAATGCACGGTGAATAATTAGATAAGCAACTCGCAGGTAAAAAAATCAGCAAGACAATTTAGCCCATCTTGTACCCAAACTTCATTCACCATGGCCCTATCAAGCTTACTCCGCATAGAGCTATTCGTCCAAGTATAGAAGCATCAAATAGATCTAATATCCATAGTACCAACATCAAGGCAACAATTCCTCAAGTCTTTGACGGCATACGGTGTAACATCTGTCCCATTACACTTCTTATCGAAATTAAGTACATTGTTGAAATCTCCCAATATCAGCCGAGGCAAAGAACAATTCAATCCATACTCCGAGATATTATTCCAAATCGGCCTACGACTGACAATGGTATGAAAACCATATACAAAACTAAGAAGAAAAGTAGATGCACTAACCTTGCAAGTAGCAGCATAATGAATAACTTGCGGTGTAGACTCCATCACATCCAATTGAACTTTCATGGGATCCCAAATTATCAAAATCCTTCCAGCTTTATGAGCGTGGAAGTTGTTAGTTTGCATAAGACCACCAAATTTATTCCGCTTAATTCGGATAATCTTCAACTCATCCAACTTTGTCTCCAAAATGCCCATTACATCAATAGAGTGTTGCTTAATAAAGCTTCAAACCCCATTTTGTTTAAGGGGAGGGTTCAATCCCCTGATGTTCCAACAACCAATCTTCATGATGGTGAAGCAAGGGATATCCCCTTCTTCCTATCTTTAATAGGCAAAACATCCCTTTGCTTATCAAGCTTTCCTTTCAGATTATCCTTACTTCTAGCCTTTGTGGAATTTCCAATAAAATTAGAGGGTCTTTCTACCACAGATTTTGCGGAGTGATTGGTATCATTATCACCCAACGACTTGGGAGGCCTAGGGCCAATTTTATGCCCTTTACTGGTACCTTTTTCCCTATTGATAACCTCAATGAATGCGTCATCAACCTGCTGAGAATGCTTGCCTTGTTGCTGGTCACAAATCTACTGGCTATTTTCTTCTCCCAAATCAGCCTGTTTCGAAATTTCCCCAGCAGATTGGCCCTTTTTATCACCAGAAACTAGTTTGGTATTCACTATGGTAGCATGATTCGGTGTAGCAGTCTGAGTTCTCTAGCCACTAGAGGAAGTTGTGTGCCCGAACATCTTACAGTTTCCACAAAACTTTGGCTCATGTTCATAAACAACATTTTGTCTCCTCGATTTCCCTATAGGAAAGCTCATTTCCACTGCACGAACCAAATCTTTAGATGCATCAATCTCAACAAGAACCCTAGCATAAGAAAATATCCCCTTCGTAGTCATGAGTTTATCCGTAGCAATTAGTTTGCCAATGATTGAAACAATCTTTGCTAATGCTCTTGGATTCCAACAATCCAAGGGTAATCCCGGTAATTTAGCCCAAACCAGCATAGTGCTCACTTCCTCATCATCAAAATCGAAGCATCGAGGCATTACCTTTAACATAAGAAGCCTACCAAGCACAAGATAGGGGCCTGCATGCAACACGCTAGCTCTCGAATTCTCATTCTGAAATTTGAAGATCAACCATCCACTCCCATGTACAAAATATTGATATTCCACCTTCCAAGAGTCACACATTTACAGTAGGGCCTTTTTACCTAGAAATCGACCGGCAAAGTATCCAACAAGGTAATAATCCCATGATTCCTCCACATCATCTAAATCTTGGTCATTTAATGTGGCTTTACCATTTTGGTTAGTAATCAACTGCAATTTAAAGCCATTATCAACTACCTTATTATCCATGAACAGGTTAATCCAGGGAGTTGTGGTTTCAGTTTGCTTCAATTCCTCCACCTTGGGTGTCCCAATGAAGGTAGCATCATCAGTATCCTCCTCACCCAGTGTTTGAGAGACACTTGGTGAATTGGCATTTGCTTCTTCAAAATCTTTCCAGAATTCCTTAGTCACATCTCAACCACAAGCAACTTCAACGGTTGATTTAGCCACTGGACTCGTAGGTTGAACAGGAATATGAGTAATTCTCTTACCCAGACTTGTAGGATGAACGGGAATAGGAGTAATTCTCTTACTAGAACTCCCAACGGGTTTGTTAGGCCCTATTTTAATAGCTTTCTTTCTACCCATGATACCAATTAATAGATGGCCCAACAAGAAATTACCAAGCCAGCACAAGAAAGAAAGCAATAAGGTACAATACAATATAAAATAATATTACCTAGGTAAACCCACGTGCAAAATGAAGCTGTCCAAACAATAAAATAATCCAAATTGTCACCCTAGCAGTTGACCCCAGTTGTAAAAGATAGAAACCTTGTAGTGGAAGTGATCGACTATGACCCAAGTCAAAATAGTATATGCATATACATATACAAAACATCCAAACTTGAAGATATGAGGATACAACCACCCAGCCTGAAGAAGTAGGCAACCAAGTAAGAGAAAATTATCGTATTACACTGTAAAATTGTGGTGAAGATGGATAGAACCCAAGAAATGGAGAAACCACTCAAAAAGAGCAAGAAATCTGGCCAAAACCAAAGAAGTCTGAAACCAAAGTGAACACCAAAATTGCACGAGAAAACCACCAAAGACAGGAACACAAAAAATAATCCAAGTA